CTTCCTCTCTTTCCCTCTCCTACCCCCCCCCCTCCTTCCCCAAAACATCGTCTCTCTCTTTCCCACTTTCATCTCTCTTTCTCCCCCTACTTCCCCTCCGTTCTCATTCTTTCCTTCCACCTTTCCTTCTCTCTATCCTCTCTCTCTTCTCTCTCTTCTCTCTCTCTCTCTCTCTCTCTCTCTCTCTCTCTCTCTCTCTCTCTCTCTCTCTCTCTCTCTCTCTCTCTCGCTCTCTCTCTCTCTCTCTCTTCTCTTCTCTCTTTCTCTCTCTCTTTCTCTTTCCTTTCTCTCTTTTTTTCTCTCTCTCTCCTCTCTCTCCTCTCTCTTCCTCTCTCTCTCTCTCTCTCTCTCTCTCTCTCTCTCTCTCTCTCTCTCTCTCTCTCTCTCTCCTCTCTCTCTCTCTCTCTCTCTCTCTCTCTCTCTCTCTCTCTCTCTCTCTCTCTCTCTCTCTCTCTCTCTCTCTCTCTCTCTCTCTCCCCCTCTCTCTCTCTCTCTCTCTCTCTCTCTCTTTCTCTCTCTCTCTTCTCTCTCTCCTCTCCCCCCTCTCTCTCTTCTATCTTTCTCTCCCTCTCTCTCTTTCTCTCTCTCTCTCCCTTTTCCTCGTCAATAACTCCCCGATCAATGTAAACATGCAAATGAAATCTTTCGCGCAGTTGACCTGACTGGCGCCCGATTTGCATACGCTAATATCCCTTACCCAGGGTACTACAGGGCGAATAGATTGACCCTTTGTGAATCGGGGAATTTGCGAGCGCTATGAGACACCTCCGCACGGCGCTGAATGTCTGTATGTCTGTCTGTCTGTCTGTCGGTCTGTCTGTTCGTCTGTCGGCTTTTTCCTCTCTCTCTCTTTTCTTTCTTTCTTTCTCTGTCTCGTCTTTCTGTCTCTGTCTGTGTCTGTCTGTCTGTCTCTGTCGATCTGTCTCTTCTCTCTCTCTCTCTCTGTCTCTCTCTTCTCTCTCTCTCTCCTCTCTCTCTTCTCTTCTCCTCTCTTCTCTTCTCTCTCTCTCTCTCCTCTCTCTCTCTCTCTCTCTCTCTCTCTCTCTCTCTCTCTCTCTCGTCTCTCTCTCTCTCTCTCTCTCTCTCTCTCTCTCTCTCTCTCTCTCTCTCTCCTCTCTCTCTCTCTCTCTCTCTCTCTCTCTCTCCTCTCTCTCTCTCTCTCTCTCTCTCTCTCTCTCTCTCTCTCTCTCTCTATCTATCTATCTATCTATCTATCTATCTTATCTATCTATCTATATCTATCTTTCTCTCTCTCTATCTATCTATCTATTTATCTCTCTCTCTATCTATCTATCTCTCCAGCTCTCTCTCTATTTATTTTTCCCTATTATTCTCTTCTATTTTCCTCCAATCCAGTTCCCTCCTTCACCTCCTCTCCTCTCCTTCCCTCTTCCTCCTGTCCATTGATAAATACTTAGAATGTGTGCAGAAGGAGAGGACACGTGAAGGAGGAGGAGGAGTGAGGGAGAGACGAAGGAGAGATGGAATAAGAGGGAAGGAATGAAGAAGGAAGATGGAGGAAAAGGGAGGAGGTAGAGAGGAGATGGAAGAAGAAAAGGAAGAGGAAAGGGGTTGGAGAGAAGGAAAAGGAAGGGAGAGGGAGGAATAAATGGAGAAGGAAGAGAGAGTTAGAGGAGGAAGGGAGAGATGGAAGAAGGGAGGGAGGAGAGGGAGTTAAAAGGAGGGGAAGGATGGAAGAAGAAAGAGACGAATGGAGAAGGAAGGGAGAGTTGGAGGAGTAAGGAAGAGACAGGGAAAAGAGGGAAGAAGTAGAGGAGTTGGAAGAGGAGGAAAGGGGTTCAAAAGGAAGGAAGAAATAGAAGAGAAAAGGAGAGGAAGGGATACGAGGAGGGGGAAGGAAGAGACGGAGAAAGAGGGAAGAGGTGGACGAGAAGAAAAAAAGGACAGAAAAAAGGAAGGAATAGAGAGGAAGAAGGAAGAGGTGGACGAGGAGAGAGGAGGAGAAGGAGGAGGGAAAGGGAGAGAAAGAAATCGGAGGAAGTTAAAGAGAAGGAAGAGAGAGATGGAGGAAGAGGGAAGTGGTGAAGGAGGATGGAATATCGAAGGAAGAGAGATATCTACTTCTACTTCTGCTCCTTCTCTTCCTGCTTCCTCCTCCTCTTCTACTTACTCCTTCTCCTCTTCCCTTTCGTCCTCCTCTCTCCATCTCCCTAATTGACAGCCACTCCAGTATTCTCAGTCCTTCTCTATTTCCCTCTTCCTCCTTTCTCCTTCTCCTCTTATCCGTCTTCTCTCTTTTCTCCTCCTTCTCTTCCAATTCTTCTGCTTTCTCCCCCTTTCTCTCTTCCTCTGCTCCCTTCCCCCTAGGCGATCCAATCAGCTGATTGGCATTTCCCATTCGCTAGTCGTTCTTCTTCCTCTTTATCCACCTCCTTCGTTCTTCACCCAACTTCTTCTTCTTTCGCTTTCTCGTTCTTCCATTTCTTCCCTTCTGGCTTTTCTTCTTCCTCCTTTTCTTCCTCTTTTCTATTCTTCCTCCTGTGCATCTTTTTTTTTTCCTTTTCTTTTGTTTCGTCTTTTTATTCTTTTTCTATTCTTATTTTTTTCTTCGTCCTTCCTTTCCATCTCTGTTCCCACCTTTCCTCCCATCCTTTCTTTTCTCCCTTCTTCGCTTCTTCTTTTCTTGTTCTTTTTTTCTTCCTCCCTTCCTCCTACTCCAATTTTCCCCATTCTTTTATTCTTTCTTCGTTTTTCCTTTCCTTTATTTCTTCCCCCTCCTACTATAACATTTCCTCCCTTTTTTCTCCTTTCTTCGCTTCTCTTCTTCTTCTTTTTCTTTCCTTTCTTTCTCTTCCCCTGTTTCCCCCTCATTCGCTTCTCCCTTTCCTCCTCTTCTTCCCCATCCTCCTTCCACAACTTTTTTCCCTTCTCATTTTTTCTTATTCGCTTCTTCTCTCCTTCTTCCTATTCCCCTTCCTCCTCCTCTCTCTCTCCGTTCTCCATTCCTCCTTTAACGGAATGTCAGGAAGTGTCAGCCCGCCATCTTATTCTCACTGAATTATTTATCAGTTTAGTAAAACCTCTTCGCTTGCAATTTGTTTCATTCACCCGTCATCACATTTTCCTTTTTCGATTTTCGCTTTTTTTTTTTTTCTTTTTCTTTTTCTTTTTTTTCTTTCGACCGAGACGAATATTTTTTTTTTGTAGAATTGAGGAAGGTTTTTGTGGTGATTCCCGTGATTTTATTCTAAATTTGGATATTGATGATAAAAAAAAAATATGTTATATATGTATACGTATATATATATATATATATATATATATATATATATATATATATATATATATATAATATATATATAATATATATATATATATATATATATGTATATATATATATATATATATATATATATATATATATATATATATATATATATATATATATATATATATATATATATATATATATATATATATATATATATGTATATGTATATGTATGGTATATGTGTGTGTGTGTATACGTAATCTCTAGGAAAATGATAAACCTCCTGCAAATGTAGCATTATCATGTAATCCTCACACATTATTATTCAAGCACAAGATAACCAACACGTGTAAATTCACCTAGTAGTAAATTTCCCCAGCTGATATCCCTCTTTGCCTAATGTGGCTTCAGAACAAGTCTCACACATGTCCGGGACAAGTTCGGCTTCACGTTTCAGCTGCAAATCCGAAAGCTTCTGTATACATTGGCGGTGTGATCACGGCCAATTTGTTATGCTTAAGTTAATAAAATGATAAAGATTTATAGTTCAAGTTCAGTATAGAGATGACATGCATGAATGTAAAAAGCAACTCAGTGAATCTATCTAGTTTATATTCCTCCCTAATTCACAGAATGGGAAGGGTTTCGGACAAGTGCAAAGTTACCACCATTACGGCATGCGAATGCGGTGATGGAGCCCTGACTTCGGTTTAGAATGAATGTCATTTCTTTAATATTTGCAATCAGGTTGCATTTTGCAATTTTTTTATATAATGCAATTCTGTATGGTTTCTACATGATAAAAGGGGAAGAGAAAGAGCGTGGAAGTGAGTGAGAGAGGAGGGATAAGAGGGATATATATATATATATATATAATATATATATATATATATATATATATATATATATATATATATATATATATATATGGGGGGGTGAGAGAGAGAGAAAGACAGATAGACAGATGAATAGATAGAGAGAGAGAGAGAGGTACGAGTAAGAGAGACAGCTAGAGGACAAAGACCGAGCGAGAGACAGCCAGACCGACCGAGATAGTCAACCAGAGCCGAAGTTAGGAGAGAGACAGACCCGAGCCCAGACAGACCGAGCGAGAGACAGCCAGACCGGACCCGACGAGAGTCAACCAGAGCCCGAGGCAGACCGATGGCGAGACAAAGACCGAGCCCGAGACAGACCGAGCGAGGACAAAGAACCGAGCGACCCGAGGCAGGACCGAGCCTGAGACCAAAGACCGAGACCGAGACAGACCGGGAGCGAGACAAGACCCGAGACCGAGGCAGACAGCGACGAGCGAGACAAAGACCGAGGCCCGAGACAGACCAGCGAGACAAAGACCGAGTACCGAGGCAGACCGAGCGAGACAAAGACCGAGACCGAGACAGACCGAGCGAGGATCAAAGACCGAGCCCGAGAACAGACGAGCGGAGACAAAGACCGAGACCAAGGCAGACCGAACAGACCGAGACCGAGAGACCGATCAGACTTTACCGAGACAAGGACCGAGGAACCGAGCGCAGACCGAGCCGAGACAAAGAGACCAGAAGACCGAGCCGACCGAGGCAGACCGAGCGAGACAAAGACCGAGACCGACCTGAGACCGAGACAGACGAGCAGACAAGACGAGACAAACCGACAAGACGAGACCGAAGACCGAGACGAGACAAAGACCGAGACCGAGGCAGACCGAGCGAGACAGATATGACCGAGACCGAGACAGACCCGAGCGAGACAAAGACCGAGCCCGAACATGACCGAGCGAGACAAGACGAAGCCCGAGCAGACCGAGCGAGACAAAGACCGAGACCAGGCAGACCGAGCGAGACAAAGACCGAGACCGAGGCAGACTTACGAGACAAAAGACGAGAACCGAGGACAAAGACCGAGCAGAGACAAGACAAGACCGAGACCGAGGCAGACCGAGCGAGACAAAGACGAGTACAAAGACGGAGACCTAGACAGACCGAGGCGAGACCATAAGACCGAGACAAAGACCGAGACCGAGGTCAGACCGGCGAGACAAAGCCGAGACCGAGGCAGACCGAGCGATGACAAAGACCGAGACCGAGACCGAGCGAGACCCGAGGACAGCGAGACAAAGACCGAGCCCGAGGCCCGTGACAAAGACCGAGACCGATGGCAGACGAGACAAAGACCTGAGACCGAGGCAGATCCGAGCGAGACAAAGGACCGAGCAGACGACCGAGGACCGCAGACCGAGGCAGACGACAAAGACCAGAGGAGACAAATAAATCGATGGCCCGAGGCAGACCGAGCGAGACAAAAGACCCGAGACAGACGGAGTCGAGACGAGCCAGAGACCGAATGACAAAGACCGAGACCGAGGCAGACCGACCGACGAGCGACAAAGACCAGACCGAATCCGTAATGGGCCAGTGAGACACGTGTTTGCAGCCAAAGAAGATTTCCTCGGGGTTGAAAGGTCAAGAATTAGGCGTCTTTTAACCGGTGATTGTCGCAGTAATTATCGACTAAGAAATACATTTTCTTCAATTTTCTCTCGTCGATTTTTTTTTACCAATTTGTTTCCTTACCTTGGTCTTTTCTTTGCCTTTTCTCTCTTCTCTCTCTCCTCTTCCTTATTTGTATTTTTATTTGTATTTCCTTCTTTTCGTTATTTTTTTTTTTATTAATTCGTTTCCTTTTCTCGGTCTTTCTTTGCCTCTCTCTCTTTCTCTCTTCCTTATTTGTATTTTTATTTGTATATCCTTCTTTCGTTTGTTTTTGTTATGGTTATTTACCATTTGTATTCTAAATGTTCTTATTTTTTGTTATGATGATGGTGATTGATAATTGATGATCATCATTATAATTGATAATGTAAATAATAATAATGATAATAATGATAATGATAATAATGATAATAATAATAATGATTTTAATGATGATAATAATGATAATAATAATGATGATAATGATAATAATGATAATGAAAACAGCAACAACAACAAAAAGATAATAATAACGATAATAACATTGATGATAATAATGATTCCTGCTTATAATCATCCTCATCATTTCTCCTACACTACTACTTTTTTTTCTTCCTTTCTTTCTTTCTTGTTTTTATTCTCACCATCGCTATCACAACCATCACCAACATTCTCCCCATCACCATCGTCATCACCAACAACATCACCCGATTTTCCCTTCAATTCCTCACCTCCTCGAGAGAGACCGAAGAAGGAGAGACAGAAATGCACTTAAAAAAGAAATGATGATAATTGGCATCATCAGGAATCATTTACTATCATCAATCTTATTATCGTTATTATTATTATTATTGCTGTTGCTGTTTTCATTATCATTATTATCGTTTATTATCATTATCATTAATTATCATTATTATTACCATTATTATTATTATTATTATCATTATGATTATTATACCATTATCATTATTATACTAGTTTTTTTTTTCTTATTTTCCCTTCAATTTCCTCACTTCCTCGAACTAATTCTGACAAGACATCGCGAACATGGCAGACCGAAGAAGGAGAGAAGAAAATGCACTTAAAAAAGAAATGGTGATAATGACTATCATAAGGAATCATTACTATCATCAATCTTATTATCGTTATCATTATTATTATTATTATTGCTGTTGCTGTTTTCATTATCATTATTATCGTTATTAATCATGTATCATTATTATTATTATTATTACCATTATTACCATTATTATTATTATTTTATTATTATTGCCATTATTATTATTAACCATTATCATTATTATCACTAACTGTTTTTTATTTTTTTTTCTTATTTTCCCCTTCAATTCCTCGAACTAATTCTGACAAGACACACCGAAGAAGGAGAGACAGAAATGCACTTAAAAAAGAAATGATGATAATGACTATCATCAGGAATCATTACTATCATCAATCTTATTATCGTTATCATTATTATCATTATTATTGCTGCTGCTGTTGCTGTTTTCAATTATCATTATTATCGTTATTATCATTATCATTATTATTATTATTATCATTACCATTATCATTATTATTATTATTACCATTATTATTATTATCACTACTGTTTTTTTTCTTCTTATTTTCCCTTCAATTCCTCACCTCCTCCAACTAATTCTGACAAGACATCGCGAACATGGCAGACCGAAGAAGGAGAGACAGAAATGCACTTAAAAAAGAAATGATGATAATGACCATCACCAGGAATCATTACTATCATCAATCTTATTATCGTTATCATTATTATTATTATTATTATTGCTGTTGCTTTTTATTATCATTTTAATCGTTATTAATCATTATCATTATCATTATTATCATTACCATCATTATTATTATTAATATTACCATTATTATTATTATAACTACTGTTTTTTTTTTTTATTATCATTATTTTCCCTTCAATTCCTCACCTCCTCGAACTAATTCTGACAAGAAACGAACGGCACAAGGAAACTATGGCAGACGACGAAGGAGGACAGAAATGATGGTAATGACTATCATCAGGAATCATTACTATCATCAATCTTATTATCGTTATCATTATTACTATTATTATTGCTGTTGCTGTTTTCATTATCATTATTATCGTTATTATCATTATCATTATTCTTATTACCATTATTATTATATTATTATTATTATAATTATTGTTAATATATTATCATTATCATTATTATTATTATTACCAATTATTATTATTATCACTACTGTTTTTTTCTTATTATTTTTCCCTTCAATTCCTCAACTTCCTCCAACTAATTCTGACAAGACATCGTGAACGGCACCAAGGAACTATGGCAGACCGAAGAAGGAGAGACAGAAAGGATGATAATGACTATCATCAGGAATCATTACTATCATCAATCTTACTATCGTTATCATTATTTATTATTATTATTACTGCTGTTTTCATTATCAATATTATCGTTATTATCATTATTATTATTATTATTAACCATTATTAATTATTATTATTATCACCATTATTATTATATTATATTATTATTATTATTATTATTATTATTATTATTATTATTATTATCATTATTATTATCATTATCACTACTGTTTTTTTTCTTCTTATTTTCCCTTCAATTCCTCACCTCCGCGAACTAATTCTACCAAGACATCGCGAACAGGCAGACAACGAAGAAGGAGAGACAGAAATGGCGCTTAAAAAAAGAAATGATGATAATGACTATCATCAGGAATCATTACTATCATCAATGTTATTATCATTATTATTATTATTGCTGTTGCTGTTTTCATTATTCAATTATTATCGTTATTATCATTACTATTATATCATTATTATCCATTATTATTATTATTATTGTTACTATTACTATTATTATTATTATTATTATTATTATTACCATTATTATTATCACTACTGTTTTTTCTTACTATTTTCCCTTCAATTCCTCACCTCCTCCAACTAATTTTCTGACAAAGACATCGCGAGCGAAGCGAACGCAAGAAACTATGGCAGATCGAAGAGGGAGAGACCAGAAATGCACTTAAAAAGAAATGAATTGATAAGAGGCTATCAATCCAGGAATGATATACTATCATCAATCTTATTTCGTTAATCATTATTAATTATTATTATTATTGTTGGTTGTTTTTCATTATCATTATTAATCGTTATATCATTTATTATTATTACGCAATTATTTATTAATTATTATTATTATCATCATTATTATTATTAATAATTACCAATTATTATTTTTATCAGCTACTGTTTTTTCTCTTAAATTATTTTCCCTTCGCAATTCCTCACCTCGCTCCATCGCGAGCGAACGGCCACCAAGAAAACCTATGCGCAGACCGAAGAAGGAGAGACAGAAATGCACTTATTGTGAGGAACCCGAAGCGTCAGCAATATCAGAAACCCATTAACTATGATTTAGTGTATCAAGCTGCATCGGAGGGCAGCGGTGTGTAAATATCTTGCTTGTGTCCCGTCCTTGTTGCGCGGTGTTGTTGCGCGGATGTGTTGCGCGGTGTGTTGCAGGGTGAGGGGAGAAAAGGGGAGGAAAAAANGGTTATTATTGTTATTATTGTGTTGCTTGTTTCATTGATCAGTTATTTATCGTTATTATCATTATGCATTATTATCCCTTATTATTACGCATTATTATATTTTATTACCATTATTATTATTTTCACTACTGTTATGCCGTTTCTCTTCCTATTTTCCCTTCAATTCCCTCACCTCCTGCCAACTAATTCATGACAAGACATACGCGAACAGAACCAAGAAACTATGAAACACGAGTTTGTCCAGTGGGCCCCGAAGAAGGAGAGACAAGAAATGCACATTAAAAAAAAAAAATGATAGGATAAGTGGCCTATCATCAGGGGAATCATTACTATCATCAATCTTATTTATCGTTATCATATTGATTATTGCTGTTGTGCTGGTTTTAATTATCTTATTTATCGTATTATCATTATCATCATTATTATTACCATTATTATTATTATCATTACAATCATTATTATTATTATTACATTATTACTTATTGTTGTTATTAACATTATTAATTATCAATTTGATATTACCGATTTTTTATTATTACACACTGTGTTTTTCTTTTCTTATTTTCCCTTCAATTCCTCACCTCCTCGAACTAATTCTGCAAGACAGATCGCGAACAGAACCAATGGAACTATGAACACCGACCAGAAGGAGAGACAGAAATAGCAGCTTGATTGTGAGGAACCCGAAGCGTCAGCAGATATTCAGAAACCCATTACCCATGATTTGTGTATCAAGGGCATCGGAGGGCAGCGTGTGGTAAAATATTTTGCATTGTGTCCCATCCTTGTTGCGCGGTGTGTTGCCAGGCGAGGGGAGAAGAAGGGGAGGGGAGAAAAAGGGGAGAAAAAGGGGAGAGGGAGAAAAAGGAGGGGGAGAAACGGGCGAGGGGAGAAAAAAGGGGAGGGGGGAGAGGGGGAAGGCGGGGGTAAGGAGAGGAAGGGAGAAATGAAGAGAGAGAGAGGAGAGTATGGTGGATGGATAGATGGATAGATAGAGAGTGAAGGAGAGGAGGGGTAAGGAGAGGAAGGGAGAAAGGAAGAGAGAGAGAGGGAGTAGTATGGTGGATGGATAAAAGGACTAGATAGAGAAGTGAATGATATAGGTTGATAGAATAGATGGATGAATGGATACGATAGAGAGTGAATTATATTAGTAGAATGATAGATAGATAGATAGATAGACAGATAGACAGATAAGACAGATAGATAGATAGATAGATAGATAGATAGATGGATGGATGGATGGATAGATGAATAGGTAGCAATAGATAGAACAGAGACG